TCTGCAGCTTCTCCTAGCAACATCTGATTATTTTTGAACGAACCATGTAATTAAAATGGATGTTTGTCTGCACTTAGCTTTTGCCCTTTGCTTTACTTCCACGCTAACATCACTTTGACACCCCTTTTAGTCAGTTGCTGCTTGAGCACCAGCCTGTCAGTAGGAATGATATGCTGTTGACAGGAAATTACAGTTACGTGCAGCCCATCAACAGTGGAGGTCGTGCTGAGTTATGAGATGTATATTTATTACAGAGAGGAATTGTCAACCGTAGATAGAAATTCAGTTAATTACAAATTTCAAATGATGTTTGTCTATCAATAATAAATCAATGAGCAGGTTTTTTTGAAAGGTCTAAATTCATAGAGCATGAACAAAACATAATTATTTTCCTGTGCATCATTAGGTTTTGGTAATGGTGTTTTTGTGAAAGAAAGGGAATAAATTACAATGATTCACATTTCCACTTACATGCATAAGTGATCCATTCTGGGTTGTGTACTTAGGTAGGGTAATATGTTGTCTCCTGTGACTTGTCTGGGAAATTCATTTGCAACAAAGAGGTTGTAGAGATCTATCAATAATATTAACTTCTGAGCATCAGGTGGAGCACTGTGGGCAGTATCTGAGTCATTCAGTTAGAGGTAACATCCACTATGTTTATATGATGCTCCCTGGAGAAACATCTGAACTTAGTTTAGAAAGCTGCTTTGGCTCTGTGCTTTTTGTGCCCTCTCTGTGTTAACACAGCCCGAGCAACTTATTACTATGCTCAAACTTAATTAGAACTCAGTATGCGGGGGATTATGCAAAGTAAGTAAACATTAGAAGAATGACAGAGGGGGGTCAATGCCGGAGGTGCGTGTGGAGCTTTTCACTTGTGATTATTCATGCTTATGTTTCATAATGAATTAAGGGCTCATGCACCTGTTTTGTTAGGATGAAAACTACTTGTGCCTAATTAGTTCAAGCATTTCAATAATACCTTTGAAATATATCAACTAAAGGAATGTACCATTACACACTTTAAAGAAGCGTTATGTACACGATGCAGAAAGTGATTAAATCACACACATTACTGTTTTAGGAAAGTTAGGGTTACGAAAATATGATACCTACTGGTTAAAGGTTGAGTTTAGGTTAATTCGCAGCATTTCAGTTAATGTGAGACCTGCTGTTTAAGATCAAGCTTAGTTCAAATTCTCAGATACCTAAATTCACAAAAGTTGAAAACAGAAGTTCACATTCAGTGAATCAAAAGATAGATACACATTTTTCTTACTGTCTGGAGTTTTCTTGTTTTAAATGTTTTTTGTAAATATATATAAATAGTGAATTAGTGACCTTTGTTGAACAATAAATTGACAGGAAATAGGGTGGAGAGAAAGACAACCACATTCTTGGATGTTTGATCCAAGAATCAAACATCCAGGACAACCACATCCAGGACTGTATCTTCTGCCCATGATGAGCCATCCAGCAGCCCTCTTAAGTAATCCATCAGTTAAATCAAATTTGATTTTATTTGTCTATTGGCAAATTACACCACGATGGAAGATGTCAAATATTTATTTTTAACCACAGACCACTGAAATAGCTAGATAATATGTCAGAATAAATGCAAGATTACATTCTTATTTAGACACAAGTATGTCACAGATGTACAAACTCTGCCTGTATACCCTGAGTTATAATCGAGAGCTACAGAATAACCTTGTGCTCCAGTGGCTGTGTTTTTGATAAGAGGAGGCAAGGCTTTAAATCCAATCAGAACTCCAGCGTTGTTTCAAAAATAGCAGGGTCTGAGAAGGTCAAAAGCTTGTTATTAAAGTATAAATCTTGAAGTACCTCTCTGTCAAGAGCAGATGGCTGTTTGGGTTCTATATTTCAAAAGTGGTAAACTATAAATATGTTAAATATGCAAAGAGGGCATCTGGAAAATGTTGTGGCAGTTTCAATTAGAGTCATCTAAGATAAGAACATTCTTGCAATGAACTGTTGTGGTCATTAAGTCTAGGATTAGGATAGCTTTAGAAGTTGCCACCAATATGTTCAAATTAATTGGAAAGTAAGAACTCTGAGTAGATGACTTAATCGATTTTGTTATCAGGCTGTAGCTCTGAAAACAAACACTTAGTATTTTCCTGTCATGTTTTCTGCTGAGGAACCAAATGCAGCTATCAGGCTGTCAACAGCCATTGTGAAATATCAAGGAGATTATGTAATAGAGTTCAAAGATGAACAACTCAGAATGCAAATAAATTCAACATACATGAGGAATTTATAGGGACTATCAGAGGGAGAAAAACAGGTAAGGCAAGAACAGGAGCAATGACAACAGAAACCATAATTTGACAAAGCATAACTGAAGCACAAAAAAATAATTGGGCTGTTCATTTTTTTTAAGAAACTGATGATTAAACTGAAATGAGTTACAATGTATTCCTAGAATAGTTGAGTGAGAGCATGGAGCTAAAGAGACAAATGGGTTGAAACCATTGATTAACTTGACCAATAGATACTGAATTGAAACACACTGGGAAAATAAATCAACAGAGCAAAAAAAATGTGACTGACTCCAAACACAGGACCAAAGAGACAAAAAGAGCAGGTAACATCTACAAAAACAGATGACAACTAATACACAATAGATCATTTTTCTACTGAATGGGCAAAAGCATTTCTACCAAGACATCTTAAACATTCAGTTCAGGTAGTTATGGTGCATCATTGCATGTTTTTGTCTACATGAGAAGAAAGGTGGTCTATCTATCAAAACAAATTAGGCAAAATTCAATTTGCTTTCATAGGATGATATTAAGATTGTCAAATATTTGTTACTGCAGTGATTTCATTAACTGCTTTGATGTTTTACGATTGGATTTTCTTTGAGACAATTCAATTTCTGGGACCCACTAATCAGTATTTTTGCAAATTGAAGATGCCAAGAGACTTTTTTTAGAATAGATATTTGATTCCATCACAACCTCTCCTGTTTTTTCACAAAAATCATGGTTTCCAAAAGATTCTCGATCAAAGATGAAGTAAGTCCATTTTATTCAGAACTTATTATTCAACTGAAAAAAAACTTTTTTTTTCTTGAAAGTATTTTCCATTTTTCAGTATTAAGCTCTGCACTGAAATATTTTCTTGCAGTGTCTTCAACTAGGACTGCAGTAATGAGGAAACACCTGGTGTAACAGTTTTGACATTTTCTCTCATCTTCTTTGAGGATGACTGAGGATGTATTCAAAGCAGAACACAGCTTTCAGTGCATTGTACTGACTCCACTGAAAGCCTCTCTTACAACATCACAAAGAATTTGAATACAAGTGCACACACTAATATCACAGTACACCTGTCGATGTTTTATAAAAAGTTAGCTAATCGAGCTCAGAAGAATGTAATGCAAAAACACCAATGCTTTTTACGTATACTGCATGCAGAAGACTCTGTTGGTACAGCATAAGTACGCATTGCATTCTGTGCCAATGTTGGACATTCTGACAAACATAGGAAGGACTATTAACAGTGATGACAGTGTTATGTTGGAAGTATAATTGGCATTGGCATTTTGTCTCTGTCCCCACAGGACTTGCTTTGAATATGTTAATGAGCTTTTTCTGTGCTTTCTGAACAATGTACTCAAAGCTCTGTCTCTCCACTTTGAACAAATCCTCAGTCAGTCCCAAACCAGATGATGAACAAATTGTCACAACCTTAAAAGCAAGCAATTCTTCTGCCAGAATTTTAGATTAGCACATTGCATTGAGAAAAAAAAGTGTATTTCTGTGCAGAGTGGACTTCTTATGATGTGTTTTTTTTTAAGATAAAAAAGAGTAAGATCAAACCAGTAGCTTCAGTGTGACTGCTTTATTACCACTGTGTCTATTTCTGTCCTTTTCTTGTTTAAATATGTCAATGTCTATAATAGTTTCTCTGTCTGCACACTGTTGTTACTCTTTACAGTGTGTATACTGCTAGTACTATAAAAATGTCAAACTGTATGCATCCATGTGTTACAACAAACATTGTCAATTTTGTTCTTTTTCCAGTCAGCGTCTTTTTATTTGGTTTACTCTTTTTCTTCTGGCAATGACTCACTACTGAAATCCCAAAGGTTGTGCCTGAGTAGTTGCACTTTATCTGAGTCATTACAAAGCTTGCAGTACTTTAGCCCCTTTTCCTATCTACTACTTCAAAAACATATTTAAAAGGGCTTTTACACACTTTTAAAAAGTACACAGGTTTTTTTTTTTTTCGATTTTGTCAATGTTTTACAGAATTAGTCAGACAAGGCAATGCAGTGCTCACTCACTCGCTCTATGAGCATTTCAGTTTAATTTATCACTGTTGAAATGGGTTCCACAAGGAACCATCTAAGATCCCTAACTGCTTCCGTACAGATGTTTCTCAAGCTTAGAGATAGAACTTCATGCTAATCTCTATGGTAGAGGAAGATTAAGTGTATTTCTTTTTTTTCCCCCATTGAAAAATCTTTTTAGGATTCTATGAAATATGAAATAAAATATTTAATGACCGAACATGTAAAAATAGAAAAATATCTAGGATTAATATTATATTTTCAGTTGTATTGTAGAAGTGGTGTTTAAATGAGCAGAAAGGGAAAAAAATAAAATATATGTTTCATAATGATATGAAAGTGTGCCAAGGGTATTTTTACATTTGACTTGCAGTCTGAGATTCTGATCTGCAATCATTATTTTTTTTTTAGCAACACAAAACAACATGATAATGTTTTCTTCCAAAAGAGATCGGAAAAATAAAAAACATGAAGTTCTGCACGTAATAATTGTCTGCGTACTGTTATTGTTATTTACGGTAAAAAGTTAGTAGTCTGCCGTTAATGCCTGTCAGTTAGGGAGGAGGAAAATACCTTTAAATTTGATTAAATTTTAAGTGCTTTTCCGTGAAATATTATAGTGCCAGAAACATGTTTTTACCTTCGTGACTCCAGAAAACAACTCTGAATATGTATCAGTGTCACATTGATGACGTGTACTTACGGGTCCTTCTGACTTCCGGGTCTGGATAAATAGACTGCAACGGAGCTGTCTCACCTAAAAGATGTGAGTGTAATCGCTTTCTTGTTTGATATTTTCAGAGAACATAGATTGTTGTCAGTGTCCGGTCCGTATATTTAATAGCGCTCTTCTCATTCTCCTTATTAGGTCCAAAGTAACATTTAAAATCACCCTCACGTCGGACCCCCGGCTGCCATACAAAGTGTGAGTTCTCTGACAGCTCAGCACTAACAGCTGTGGTTTATTGTGATTTCTCCCCCCCAGCCTCTTTGCTCTACATAATTTGGAGTTACAGTTTGCAGTGGAAATAATGCTATCTTGTCAATAAGCCTGATTACGAAGCAGCGTAACAACTGATGAGAACAGCCATCAAAAAAAAAAAAGAGAAACGAAAGTTATATCAGGAATAATAGCTTCTTCTAGTTTGCTTCCAAGCGCTAATTTATTTTTATTTTATTTTTGGTAATCCTTTGACTTGACTAATTGTGCGAATATTTTTCTGAAGGTTTGTCAAACAGGCTCTACGGATAATTCTATATTCAGATATTATATCTTGATATTTTGCGAAAAACTTATTAGGTTTCATGTTTAATAATCCTAAATCGATATGGTTAGATTTTGTACACATTTTCCTTAATTTGGAAGCATGGCAGTGAGGTTTGTTTGGTCTTTTTTTTAGCTCAAATAAGAAACTACAAAACAAATGATAGTTGTGAGCTATAAGACCTTGATGTAGGTGAATTGCTTAAGTACATTTTAAGAAAACGTTTTAATTATTATTATTATTTTTTTTAAGATCTTAAATGTTTGGTTTAACTTACTGAAATTTATATTGACTCTACTCTAATCTAGACACAAATGTGCTTAGATGTTGCGGCTAAACATATTTCTACGTTAATAAAATAAGGCCTGGCAGGAAAATTAAAGTGCAAGTAAGCACCAGCCACTTGAAAATTGTACAAGCATTTTTTCCCCCTATACAAGTTTGTGTAATATATATATTTTTGCTTACAGGAAATGGTTGGTTACAGTGATGCTGAAAACTTTAGCATGACCAATGCAAAAAACGTTGATGCTAAAAGCTTTATCATCACTCATCTTGAAGATTTCTGTCAATTGCTTGACACCAGAAATGTAACTCCACATCAATTTTCAGTTTCTCCTCTACTCAGACGTTTGTGTTGTATTTGTATATCGGTTCAGGATAATTTGTGTAATCCGAAAGCTTTGTTTGACATGATGCAAACTTTACAAACAATTAACAGCCTCCCTCTGCCTAATGCAACTACACCCCAAACTGTGTTTCCCACACCTTGCCTCAGAGCTCATATGATGTAGTTTTTTTCTGTTGCAACATTTCTTGCTGCATCCTTACATGTCAAAGTTATACATAGTGCATGGTTGCTTGTTTGTGATAGGTCAATGTAGAAACAGTATTAAGTCAGACTAAATCATTCTTCAACCTGCTTTTGCACATTAACCTCTGCTTAACTTTCAAGAATGGCTCCAAGTGGAGAACAGTAAGTTGTAAGTGGTAAGATAATTGGGCCAAGCAGAGCATTCTGAATTTTGAAAGGAAGCTATTTAACAGCCAGATGAGATCTGACTTAGGCTGTTTGCATAGATAAAGAGAGTATGATAATGAAATGGCAAATTAAGTCTATAAAAGAACTAAGCATTAGATTTCTAAAGGTTATCCTCTGTTTAAACATTATTAGCCTTTATTAACTGACTTGTCCATACTTTCCTCAAAGTGCTGCCTTAGTAGGTGCTTCACTCTGCTCTCTGCTTTTTCCTGCTCCACTGACTAATTGATTTTGTCCAACATGACATCTCCTGTCTTCATATTGTCTCAGTTGGCTATCAACATTTAACTCAAACTTTAAAATGTCTGTGTTTGTTCTGCTGTATCCTCAGGAGTTTTCTGACAGCTGTTACTTTTAGCTAAAAAGCATTTTGATATTTTTTTTGCCTTGCCTTTGTTTTATTCCTTTCAGATTAAGTGTCCCAGAAAGCACACCTTTCACAGCGGTTTTAAAGTTTGCTGCTGAAGAGGTAAGCTTGCATTTTGTCTGAAATATTTGCTCACCAGCATGGTTCTGAACTTAAAAAAAATTATCTAAAAGTTGCAGGAAAGCTTATCTAGATGACTTTATTTGATAGTACTAGATATAAGGAGAGTATCGTGGTTTAGCTGTTTTTTGGAAGAACGGATAGAAGGGGGGAAATCTAGTTGACATAGTTCTGCGTACCAAAAAACAAGTAATCAAATCAACATTGAATGACGTTGAAGTCGTTGGAAACTGTTGCGAAAAGATTAACCATTAAGTGCTTAGTAGGCGACAGAATGATGCATCTGTTTGTCTTGAGTCAGCTTTACGATATCCAGATCTTGGAAAAAAGAAATTACCTATATTTCTCCATGTTGTGTTTGTATAAACCGACAAGAGTCCTGAGGTCCAGAGAGAGATTAAGCTAAAAGTGTCTGTACTGGCTGTTTTTCCAGGGTGCTGGCAGGGTGTTAATTTAGTTCAGTTATGAACCAGCATACTGATGGAGTTTTGTTTTTGCCATGGATGTTTCCTTTACACCACAAAACACACAGCTCCAGAGAGGGACAGTGATGGGATAAAAGAAATTTGTTTTAAATTAAGTTGTTTTTATCACTTTTATTCTGTCAAAAGATTTTCCCAGAATTTGTCTCTAAATTTCAGTTGTGCTCATTTTGATGTTGTGTTTCTTGGTAAAACCCTTTCTGAAACATTGATTTAGACAGATATAAAATCACAAAGATGGTTGTAGATTTGGCATTTTCATTTATGGTGACTTTAGCAAACTCAAACAAAAGCTACCAGTAAATAGCTGAGCTTGGCCTTACCTGTATTTCACATTTACTCTCCTTTCTAATACCTGCCAGTTGCGTGGTAGACAGTTCTTAGCCAACCTTATCTTTCTGGTGCCAGATTGCTCCTTCCCACCTCCCCTTTGCAAATCCTACCAGTTCTCATCCTCTTTCTGCTGAGCACTGAAGTATGGCCTTTATTGTGACCAGGCTGATGGATTTTTCTCCCAGAAATCAAGCCTGGCTTCTTTTTTCCCCTCAGCTTCTCACACCAAGTGTGTTAGCCCAGTTTTTGTCTTTGACAAGTACAAGACATTTCTGAAAACACATTTTCTTTTTGCATGTTTCACAGGCTTTGCATGTTTTGGGACATTGCAACAGCATGTTTTTTTTTTTTTTTTTTCCGCAAAGTGTTCCTCACTGAGAGTTTTAGTGCGCAGAAGTTTTTCTTTTTTTCCTAAATGTGTGTTTTGTTTGCATTAAGTTTTTGGTCAAGTAATCTATTTTTGTGCACATTTCAAATTTCTTAGCAATTACAATTTTCTGCTGCTGACATACTGAAAACAGCTTCTGTTGAGAATTTCACTGCTGAGAATATTGCAATTACACAAATCTTGTTTCTCCTTCTTACAGTTCAAAGTGCCATCAGCAACAAGTGCCATTATAACAAATGGTAAGGTCAAAGGGAGAAAAGTCTTTCACCCTATTTTACATACATCTTAGCCTGTTTAATACACAGTCCTGAACTCTTAATATGCTCCCCATGAAGTAAACTGTTACTACTAGATATTATGGAATATTAGTTTTGTTTAAATAACGTTTAAACAATATAATTTGCTGAACCATCTAGCTGTGGTTCACCAAATGATCATGTAGCTTTTAAATATGGAAGCTAAGTATTAAGTTTCCTATACTTTAAGCAAATTAAAAACTCAAAAGTAAAGTATGGTAATAACATTTGTACTATACATATACATACGTACGTGTGCGTGTGTATGTATGTAAGTAAAAATTTAAGTTATCACATTATATTCATATAATTGATCAATATGTTTCAACAGTATTAGGAGTAATTAGAAAACTAGGTCAGAAATCTTAACCTGCTGATTCTTTTTTTCCATCTGAAAATCTCTGTTGAAAGTTTATCTATTTAGTTTAAACTTTTTGAAAATTACAAATCCTACTAACAGCATCACCCTGTTTGTTGATTTTCAGTGGATCACCATGCTCTTTTTAGACGGCAAGGTTTGAATTTAAAAGAGAAAATGTATCTGGAGGAAATGTCATCTATTTAATTGAAACCAAAATTGGGTGCGAAATGTTTATTGTCAGTATATTTTGTAGAGAACGATTGGATGCAGCCATAATTAGGATTTTCTCATCAGAAATCTAAATGACAATATGACATTGGTGCAATTCTGGCTATTTTGTCTTTACAAATAGTAGTGACGTGAAATTTGCATTTAAATGGCTTCAATATGACTAATGTTTCAAACATCAGATTTACTTTGATCAGAATGGATGTTTTGATCTTCATTAGTTAAGATAGAATTGCCTGTTGGTGAGTCACTTTGTCATTCTGTTGCAGCTTATTTGCATGACAACTGTCATTGCTCACATTATGTGTTTCTTTCCAGATGGAATAGGAATCAACCCTGCCCAGACTGCAGGTGAGCTATGATGATGTTTTCCTGCTTTTGCTTTCTCCACTCATTAAAACAAATACCACATTGAGATAATTGTTTTTGTCCTGTTAACAAAAATCCTATTTAGAAATTTCAGCTTTTCGTTTTAGCCATAATTGTTGTATGTGGAAGCCCAATCAGTTCTGGAGGCTTCTTTTAATATATTTTTTTCCAATTCCTAATAATGGTGAGGAAGTTTTTTGAAGTTTGTTTTTCACAAAGACTTTAATTAAGAGTGGGAAAAAAAATTGGGATACAGTTAGCATGGTTCCAAAAAGAAACAGAAAAATAAAATGCTTATCAAAGGTTTTCTTAATGTTTCGCTGCTAATTACCAAGCTAGTTTCATAGAAAGTTTCATCACAGAGAGATTCTCACTGCTGCTGCTTTTATGTTTTTATTATGTTGAGTTGAAAAAAAAAATCTGTTTGTATGTTTTTAACTAAAAATAAAAAACTTGTATTTTAGTTGAAAATGCTGTATTTGACAATGAAAATCTTCTCTTTTTTTCCTTTTAGCTTTTCTTTGTTATAAGTAGTTTTTCACATTTATATCGGGGGAAATAAATAAAATTTGCTTTTATAAACTTAGAAAGAATCAAAACTAATCTCAGTTTGAGATGTATCACAAAGGATGCTTTTTTATTTATTTATTTTTGTATTACTGATCTGAGTAATTTGAAACTGAAGTAGAAGCTTTCCACGTTGACAAGTGTTGCAATTAAATTTGAGTTCTTTAACAGTTCCTGGCAAAACTATACATATCATATTATATACAGTTAAAATAACTCTTTTCTCATGTTACAACCACAAACTTTAATATATTTCATTGCAATTGCATGTCCTGATCAATATTAAGTTGTGCATAATTTGAAACGGCAGGAAATCTATGCATAGTTTCTCTTTTTTGGGGGGTTTGGTGGGCACATACAGCGAAAGGCCCGAATGACGTTTTATCAAATATTTTGTTTTTTGTTTTGGTCTACAAGCAGAAGAGAACCTTCTAATGCTGTGGGGTGTAGTTATTCTTGCTGCTGATAAGTACTGTGCAGATCCATTTTAAATACTCTTGTGTCCCAAAAGTGTTGTTGACAAGCTCCTGCCTGTGAGTCACACAAAACATGCATCGTCGCTTGCCTTTCAGGATCATTGAGTACACACACAGTTAGAATGTATTCATTCAGACCCACTCTGATCTTTGATCTTTGTTTACATCTCACTGCTTTGCACTAAACTCTGTCAGAGAATATTTCTAAAGGCAAAAATGTTGAAAGTCAAGAATCAAAGTTCATAAAGACACAAGTCAAAAATATAAAGACACAGTGAAGACACAATAAAGACACAGACACAATAAAGACACAGAGCTGGAAGCTGTCTTCCTGCTCTGAAGGTGACATATTCCACCCAGAGATCCATCAATACAATGGGACCTCAGTCGTTCATCTAACAGCTTTACAGATGGTGGTAAAGGTCTCAATATAACTTCCACTGAAAATATGGTTCATCCCGAAGAGGTTGCTTTAGACTCCTCTTTTGAAACAGCAGCAAGTAGTTAATTTCACATCCCAAACCTCTTAAATATTATCTCAGAATTCGGTGAAATAAGCTTAAACCTTTTAAATTATGCATGCTTAAAAGATAAGACCTTTATGTGAGCGTTACTTGCAGTTCGTATGTACAGCAACTCATGAGTATAAAGAAAAGGCACACCAACTCAGAATTTAAATGTAATTTACATTGATGCCTCTTTGCAAGAGGAGTGGAGGTAACATTCAGTTTGGGTTAAAGTCACTCCAGCTTCTTATATTATTATTATCCCCACCTGAATCATGTGCTCTATGTCTCAGCCTCCTATTTCCCAGAGGTTAAACTTTCTCTTTATTCAGGTAATCAACCTCATCAAACAGTAGGTACAGATGACTGGGTTTTCTGCATAATGCAGGGTGAGATAATGTCTGCTTCAACCTGAGGTAAAGTGGAGGGTGTTCTGATAGGAACAAAAGAAATAGAGGTATGTTGTGTTGGGCTTTCACAACACCTTTTTTAGCCACACTACACTGCTTTGTGTGCGGCCAAGAATAGCCTCGGTTCAGACACCTTTGTCACATTGACTTTTTTTCACCCACTGCAGCCGCTTTTCTTCACATTCACACAACTGAGTACACAGTTGAAATTGATCGAATGTAATTTTAGTCTTGGGTTTCTCACACACTACTCTCATATCAGCCTGGCATAGCTGCACTAGGCTGCTTCTCTGAGGCGTAACAAAAGGTTTCAGAACAGTAGGGTTGGACTATGTGGGTACTCTGACCATGCTAAATCTTTGCATTTCCACTATTTCTATGAGGATGTTAATAAATTATGTCATTTGTAGTTTTAATATTGTCTTGTAAAATAATAATAAAAATAAAAAAAATAGAAACTGCAATTTGTGGTGTACAGTGCTTGGCGAAATAACTCAAGCTTGTTCATATTTCATCAATTTACAATCAACTTTAATGCATTTTAATTGGATTTTATGTGAAGACCAACAGAGTGTTTAAATAGATAGAAATTTATGCACAGGAATTTTTAAAAAATGTACACAAATCTAATTTTGAAGTTAGACATGCATGTTTACCCCACTTCCATCTTAAATGTGATATCTCTTGATGATACCCAGTTCAAACAAATGCCTTCAGAACTTCATAAGTAAATAGACTCCATGTGTGTCATTTAGGTTCAGCATAAATCCAGCAGTTCTGTGGCATCAGCATCAGTGTTTATTCACTAATGTTCTTTTAAAAGAACAACATGTTCTTTAAAGAGAACATTTTTGTTTTTTGCTCACTGATGTTCTTTTAGAAGAACAGGATGTCCTTTTAAATGCACATTAGTGAACAAACAGCACCATAAAGGCCAAGGAACACATCAGACAGGTTGGTATATCGTGGAAAAGTTTAGGCAGGAGGTTCATGATGACAATTGCTGAGATCCACAAGGCAGGTGGAAAACTCTGTCGACCTGACCTTAATAAAAGACTGAGAAGAAGAAGAAGAAGAAAGCTTCCTACATGTGGGGAATTCAGCAAACATGTGGCAGAAGGGGCTCTGGTCAGATGAGACCAACATTTAAATTACCACGTTTGACTCAGATGTCTTACTTCTAACACTTTGTTTCGTGCTGCTTTTCTCCTAGATGAGGTACACAAATGAGCTACTGTCGCTGTGTGTGGTCTGTTTTAAAGCCCCAGTTGTTGCTGGCAGATGGCTGCTCACTCTGAGTCAGTTTCAGCTGTAAGATTCTTCCCATTAGAAGAAAGTTCTCCTCTTTCCTGTTGACACATATATGCCCAGTATTAGGAATAGCTGCAGAGTTAAAGACCCAGTGTTCACAGTTTTTGTTGACAATAAACCTCTTCACCTATTTGAGTAACAAACTGAACCCAATAGATTGTCTCATAAAAAGGATCCAGTTGGATTTTATATTGCTGAATTTGAATTTGTTTTTGTGATTGGATTAAATTGACTGCTTGCTTATGTGTGTGAATTAAATTTGATGTGTTTTAACATAACATTTGTTTAAGTCGATGCTATAAAAGACAATCTGAAATGAAGTGAAACATTGTGGTGGCAGCATCAAGCAGGGGGATTGCTTTTTTTGTCAGCATGGCCAAAGAAGTTGGGGTAATTCTGAAAGAAAAAACCCTGAGAGTTGACTGGAGGTTTACCTTCAAGTAGGATAGCAACTAAACACACGTGGAGTTGTAATGGAATGGGTTAGGCAAAAGCATATCTATGTGTTGAAATGATCCATTGATCATCCAGACCTAAATCAAGTTGTGAATTTCTTTTAAAAGTTCTTCCCTTCCAATAAAGTCTGACTGAGCTTGAGCTCTTTCACATAGAATAATAATCTTATTTAAATCCACATACCCCAAAAGATTTGCAGTGAATGTTATCTCCTAAAAACCACTCACTGAATGGAGACTGAGTGCTTGTGTACACCATGCATTTTTATTAAAAATATGTTTCCACTTCACACAAATGAGGTCTGTTTTATCACATAAAAGGAAATGAATAATTTTTACAAGCCCTGTGTGTTATTATGTTGAAAATGTTGAATCCAACAAAAATGTCTAAACCCAACTTGTATATATCTTTGTATACAAACCCATAATTCTCAAGTAGTTTGGATTTTGTGCTTAGTATTTCGGTATTAAATCATAGAGAGAGAGAGAGAGTTTAAAAATGCTTGCTGCTGGTGAGTGGGTTTATTTCTGTTAGCTTCAGTGACTGTGAAAAGACCCTTTTCATCCCCAACATGAACTGTGATCCTCAGCTCTCCGTCCTCTGTTGCAGGGAACGTGTTTCTAAAGCACGGCTCGGAGCTTCGCATCATTCCCAGAGACAGAGTGGGAGGACAAGGAGACTGACTTATGCAGCATTTCCCTGTCGATGGCATAATGACTCACACCACAGAAACACACTTACGACCCAGGAAACACCGCAGCATGTTTCATATTTATTTTTTGAGCCCACACAACTGACAGTGACTCACATGAGAATATGCAAGTTTAAAGTTACTGGTGACACAAGAGTTGAGAAGTTATCAAGCAGGAGCTAAGGTTTGGAGTAACGACGAGAGAAATTACCTGAAATGTTGAGTAATAATTCTAAGCAAGGCAGATTTAGAATAACTTTTGTATTATTTTACGTTCCCAACAAACATTAAATACGTAAACAAAACATCTTTTTTTATTGCTTACTTTAGTTTAACCTGCATTGTAAATATGGCAGAGTAGCAAATCATTTTTTTTGTTTTTTTTAATAATTGTAATTAGATTATTTTATTGAATCTTGTTACTTTGCTGATGAATATAATTAGGTGGCTCACATTATTTCTTTCTGTAAAGCTCCTATCTGTACTACTTGCAGTACTGATGTGTTCTGAACTTGTGCTGTGGACCCAGTGGAAACATCTTATGAGCAAATAAAACTATCAAATTGAATTCTGCAAACACATGGCTCTCTGCTGCCCTCTTCCTTCTCAGTTTTTGCTATCAGACTGTGTTAAAGGCTGGTTGTTAAATTAAAAGGATATGCATTCTAGATTTTCACACATTAAATGGAGATAATTACTGACAGCCCACCAGGATTATTTTAATATGCAAAGTTAAGTTGGATTTATTATGATCAGGAGGTGCTGAGGAAATAGGATTTGCATTTAAAAAGCTGTGATTAGTATGCAGACACCATGAAATGGTGTCACTATCCATAACATTTTTCATTAAATGCATGAAGACATTAAATGCATAAAAAATTATGTAGTAATAAAAAAAACCCGAGTAACTCTTTCAAATTGCTCCACTATGAAAAAAAGCTGTTGATCATATCTGCTTAAAACCATCATTTTCTACACCTGATTTATTCTGCTCTTAATCGCCCAGATTTCCCCGGGCGGCTCTCCTGTCCGCCACAGGCACGCGTCTAAATAATGTTTTTCAATGATATGCTGTTCTTTAGCCCATTAAAATAAGACAGACACACCAAGTTGAAAACAAGCTGCAGAGAATAGTGCAAAGAAACTCAAATTTTGCCTTTCGCTATAGCCATTAGAATGCAGACCCAGATGGGAGGGAGGAGCAGGAGGGCCATTGCAAATGGATTTTCTAATTTATTTTAATCAAAGTCACTGCAGGGCAAATTCATCAGAAATCTACTTATGAAATGGCAAAAAGCCACAGTGTGTCTTGGGTGCAGCAGATGTCATCTATTTCAGGGCTACTGTTTAGGAGCCTAAAATTGACTTCTTGTTACAGACTCCTTAGTACTCCAGATATTTGCAAAATAGGCTTTAATTTCTGTCCAGTGCTTACACTGGCGTGGTTGTATGGGTTGACAAAAAAGATCTAATCTGTCTGAAAATACCAAACGGGACAGGGCACTGACATGTGGATCAGGGCAGGATAGATTGATTGCAATGATTTAGAAAATAAAGTCCATTTTCCATCAAATGGCTCTTCCCTTCGATCTTTTTGTGCTCTTTTCTTTGTTCTTTTTTGTCCCCACTGCTTTATAAATGTCAGCATGCACTCTTGAGTGTGCACTTTGGCCTCTCAATACAGGAAGCCAATTTTAAATGAGATCTGAAGATATCTCTTGACCTCTGATAAAATCTTTGCTTTAGCCACAGGTCAGCAAGTCAGAAAAAGAAATATCAGTTTGTGGAAACAGACTTTTTCTGACAGCACTGCTGATTAATTTGCTGTTCACTTTCACAGAAATGTAATGTAATATTGTACAATAATAAATGAGTGAAGGTTTTCACATGCAGACAGTGAGATCTTATCACTCATCTTGTAATAAAACTGAGTTTTCTCTCATCAGAGCTTTTAATATTCCTATTGACCTTATTTTGCCCTTTTCTGTCATAAATTCAGTATAGGAACAGTAGAAATACAATGTGAGGGATTAGTGAAGCCCCTACAACCTTCTTTTAACAAAACAAAAGTTTATTGACTTAGATATTGTGGTTATCTGCAGCTTGTTTTTTCTTTTATGTGTTTGCAGCATTTATTGTATTCTCACCTGGGAAAGGAGATTGTATTAATATAGGATATTAATAGAATCTGCTTTCTTCTAGGATGATCTCTTTGTTACTCTTGCATCACAAGAGACAATCTTACTGAGTTTTACAGAGGATGGGAAAAAGTGCTTATGTACATTTTATACCTTGATCAAAAATGGCAGCTTCCCATATGGACAAGCTGAGTGCCTTCTGCTGAAGAAATTTATTAACCGAGGAAACAAGGACTGAGTGTTATGGCTGCAGAAACTAGAATCCGTAGCAGAGTCCAGAAATGGTCTCCAAACTGCAGAACCCTGTATAGAATACACTTATGAAGATGTAGGACTTCTGGCAAAAGGAAAATCCTTCAACTTCACATCAAAACTGAAGCCAATAACAAAACTAAGAAGTGTTTGTTATTGGTTTGACAGAAAAATGATGCCAAACCTACATGAAACTTATTTTATAATGCAGTAAGTTTCTGGAATGTCCTTCCCAAAAGCCATTCCCGGATTTTTTTTTTTTTTTACATATCAGACCCATGGCAAACAAGCAACCAATTTTAATGAAGTCCATCAATTCTACCAAGAAATTTGACAAAAATATCAGTCAGTGTTGTGCCAGAAACTTGATGATGGATAAATAAAACTGTAATTTCTCTGTAAAAATACTTAAAAATAAATAACTAGAACCCAAAAAATTATGACTTTGATGTGAATTGTACATAATACAAGGTGCTAAATATGTGATTAATTGTTTTAAGCATATTTGGGGATTTTTTGTCAATGCTTCATCTCTTATACATATTTGTATAAGACAAAATTAAGCTCTATGTCTTTGCCTACTCTTCTGAACATTTGAATCACAAAATGTGGGCAGAACAAAATAATTCAGGATTCTTTAGAAGATTCATTAAAAAAAAATTGGGGACAGGCTGTCAAAGATAAAATAGGATATGCCTGACATGTCTGTACATTAATGTACTTTATAGAGTCTAATTTAATGCATTCTGTGAGAGAGCACTATGTTTAGACTGTTCCAGCTCTCAGTCCATGAAGGATGCCTAACCTTCTCTCAGAGCTGGCTGGTAGCAGAACTTAAAAGCTGTTTGTGACTGATTTTCTCTCAGGGATAAATTCAGCAGTCCAGTTCTGGCTGCCTGAGTCCTGATCCCCATTTTTCTTCTTTTCCTCATACAACATCGAAGCACTGCTATGCTGTATTTTTTCTGTCTTTCCTCTTCAAGTTACATGTTTTAGCTCAATCTGTTTAATCAGGCCTGCAGAAAAAACCATCTCCTGTTTTTGCATCTTTTTGCACCAACTTTGAGCCCATGTGAATTAAGGTTTGTGGGGATATTTTTAAATCAAGAGGGTGCAATTTAAGGACAACCAGCTTCTGGCACAGCTGATACGTATAGTAAAAAAATAAAAATAAAAAATAAAAACTGAGAGAGCAAAGTTTCATCTGATTTACTTTTCACAGCAGTAACTTGTTTAGGCTCAGTGACAGCATGCTGTGAGAGTGTGACTTTGCAGTTAGAACTCCACAAATACTCCAGTGGAGATGAAGCACTCACAGTGACACTGACACTTAATGAATCCTCTGTTCATCATCCTCCTCTCACTGAAAAAGAAACTACCCTAACAGGGTGATGTGTGGCGAGTCTTTTGGCAGTTTCCTAAATTTGGCGTTGATCTCATGGGATTGCTTTTTCATCATCACAGAAAAAGCGTTGGCCTGCTGAGAGCAACATTAACCCACCGAAACAGCCAAGGACAACCCGAAAAATCCTGCTGGGTAAATAAGTTTGGGGAAGGCTTGTTGATTTCTCTTGAGGGTGTTGTTTTCAGAATATATAAATCAAAATATGCCAAGCGCATGAATTTTTTAGGCTTCAATGCATTTTCTCTCTGTGCACTGCATGCAGATCCATCAAATCTACAACTTAACCAAAACTTTTTTCTAAACTAATTCCATCAGGATTTTTTAAGACAATGTGAGCAATGTGCCTACAAAAGAGCTTATGCAGTGGATGTAGGTTTTGTTGTTACACTGCTTAAACTGTTTTATCATTTCATCATATGATAATAAACTTCAAAGTATTATGATAAAACTTAGACTGGCTTATCTTTATAGTTATGCTGTCATAGGACAAACTGATTCCTTTTTCTAACTTTCTTCTTCTACTACTCTTCAATTTACATTATTTTGTTATTTCAACTGTTATTTTTATGTTTGTTTTGTTTTCTCTGTTATTTTTTTCTCCATAGATGATAGATTATAGGCTGGAGTTGTATTTTGGGATAAAAGTGTGAAATTATTTAAAGTAGTGTTACATCATAAAAAGTATCCCACACTGAAAACCCCTCACAGAAGTTTATTTCGTCCATCATCTCAAAATGAGAAATGTATGACACAAATGCAAATCTATCAGGATGTGACTGTCGATTTAAACTGACCGCTAGAGCGAGCAAAGCAATAATCAGATATGCAGCCAAGAGATCTGTGGTGGAACTGCTAGGATCTGCAGCTCAGGTGAAACAATCTGTCATTATGGCCACTCTTCGTACTTCCCAAATCTAGCATTAGAGAAGAGTGGTGCAAAGAAAACCATTGTTGAAAGAAAAGCATGAAACACTATTTAAATAAAAAATAAAACATAGAAAGGATGATGAAAACAACTCAGAGCCACAATGTTACAATGTACATGATAATGATAATGTACAAATAATCCAGATCTGTCTTAAAATCTCTCCCTTCGAATGCTCCACCACTTCTTCACCACCAGAGAGCAGTAGAAAATAAAATAACATAATCACATTAATTCTTCACTGGTCATTTCAATGTGAAGCAAAACCACATATATGTCAACAAGCCATTTAATTCAAACTTTATTTCATTGAAATCCATTAGTAATGTGAATTGTGTAATCTCAAAATTTTTTTTGTAAGATTGAAGGTCTTGTATTATATGTATATTTGCACTTTAAAAAATTGTTTTTTAAATTGTTTTCAGTAGGGGTGCTGTTTTTTAATTGCTTTTGTCTCCTGTCTTGATGATATGACAAGAAAGATATGAAAATGCTGCACAAGCACAGACAGACAATAGAGAGGAAGATCTGACATTAAGGGTTGCAACCTGCCACTGCCTGCAGGGCTGAGTGCTTCGTCTGATTGATACAGGCTCTCTCCTCATTAGGCTGATCACCTTTGTGAATCCTATTAAACAAAAACACAGCAGACAAAACAAAGAAGGAAAGAAAAGTTTCTTGTATATAATTTCAGGATTGAATGACATCATGGGAAGCAGCACACTTTGCAGAAGGAAGAAAGATCAGGTACAACAGTACAAGGTGGTGATTAAAATTCTGCCTTTTCTCTCATTTTTTAAGGCATTTTGATCTGAATAGTTTTTCTCACAAAATTCCCACAGTTCAAACTGCTATTTAC